TGGCAGCTGGCCATACGGTGAAATTAAAAACACAAACAAACCCTTCCTTGAATCCCCACGAGAGTCCATTTTTTTGTCAGAGTTTTAATACCAGTTAATATTCTTATTGACAGGGCAACAGCATCAGTGTTTGCGTGTGTGCCAAGGAACCCCTCCGGTCCCAAAGCTGCCTTGTGCTGGGGAGTGGCTTTGGGATGGGAGCAGTGAGCACTCGGCAAGGCGGGTGGGAACTTGCTGGCAAAAGTGCAAGTAAGAGCTGTCCTGCTGCTCCCTTGCCTTTCTGAACCAGCATCAGTCCTTTAGCAACGTGCAGTTAAAAGCTATACTGAGAAACATGAACATGGCCATACGTGTTGCAGGTAATGTTTAGGACAAAATTATCCAGAACATTCTAAACAATCCCTTGCAGACTATTCCTTACTTATTTTTATTTCTCAAACTCCCCTTGTAACTGTGTATTTCATGCTTAGTGTTTCTGAAAAAAGAAATGTGTATATCAGTATTCAATAACAAAGTTATCCAGAGCTCTCCTTTATTTAAGTCTTCCTAAAACGATCTTAATACAATAACTGAGGTTTTATTGTGTCACATTTCATCATTGCTGACTGCAGCCAGCCTGGCTAATCCTTTTGCTGCTGCCTTATTGGTATTTTCATAATACGCTGTTTTCCATTCTACTTTCATGACTTTTAGGACTTCTTATTCTTCCCTAGTTGGAAGAAATTTGCAGCTGCACTCTGTGCTTGCTCAGACTGACAGGTGATTGCACACACAGACAGGTAGGTAGTTAACATTGGGTTGAGAGCCTCTGCATAGGTGTTAAGGGATAAGCAAATAAAGTGGATGACATTGTGGGAGTCTGCTATAGGCCACCCAGCCAGGATGACAGCAACAATGAATTATTCTTTAAGACAGTAAGGGATATCTCTAGATTGGCTGCTCTTGTCCTTGTGGGTGACTTCAACCTGCTTTCCTGGGGCATAAATTATGGTTGATTCTTTTCTCCTAAGAAAGAATGCCCCAAAGAATTGTTTTTAATCGTCAGTTCCTGCCGCATACCCAGGAGCAGAGAGTCAAGACAATCATGATGATGTTGCTTTTTTGATTTTTTAATAATTCCTATTGCTAGAGAAGAGTTGTGTGTATGTAGTTGAAATGCTCGTTTCCTTGCTTTTATTCTTACTACAGTTCTGTGTATCTTGTGTAGAGGTGGAATTTTTTTCTCTTTTCTATTATTTTCTATTGGAGATTATACACATGTATGTTTTCAGGCACAGGGTAATGGTAATTCAGTGGCTGCTAGAATGAGACCTCTTATTTCTTTTGGTGTTTGGTGTCATTAGTTTAAAAAAAAAAACTACTTGAAATCTGTGGGCAGGGTTGCCGTTCAGTAGATCAGGTACTTGATCAGGTTGCTCTGGATCCCATCCAGCTTGGGCAGCTTGTGCTAGTGCCCCACCACCTTCCAAATTTCATCCTAATATCTAATCTAAATCTCAGTTTCCTCTTTAAGCAACTGGGTATTAGTAGCTGCATGGAAAAGGACAGGCTGTTCAAAGCTCCAGCCTACCACAGACTTTCTCTGTGTGAAGTTATATGAAATAAATCCCCCTAGTATTTGCAGTATGAGTGACTGGGCACGAGTATATCCAATGTTCTTCTCACCTTAATGAATTCAGCTTAGGGCGTGGCTTGAATAAACTGAAACATGGTAATTAAACAGGGTTCAAACATTTTTGCTTGCATTTTTGACTCGGAAATAGCACGGCTTTACAAATGTGAATGGAGAAGGGTCTTTTCTATCCCTTAAAGAAAAACAGTGGCTTCTTTCATAGGCTGCAGGAACTTCTTCCCTAGCACTGGATGCTCAAGGGAAGTCACTAATACTTCCTCAATCCACCTGGGAAGCCATAGGTTTTAGCACGGTCATTTTTGTAGCTGTCTGCCAGATTTGTTCTGCTTTCCTCTGTGGTTTCCCTGTTATGCTCATGTTTCTTGGCTAGTATATGTTTCCCAAACGTGATCTTTCTATTACCTTCAAACCTTGGATCATCTGAAGTAGTAGGTGTTTTTCATAACAAGCATAAGTTGTATTTATTCAGTGAACATGGATTTGTATCCTGTAAGCTCCTGCTTAGCTTGTGGAATAACGTTTCCCCTGAACCCTGTAAGATTTCAAGACAGTAATTCAGCACATTTGTTTCCTTAATAAATTCTCTACTTTTTCAGAGGCATCTAATATCAGCATATTCATTTTCCCCATGCTTCTTGAACCTATTTATTGTTAGTTTTTTTTCTTGGCCTTACCAGTTGACCCTTATATAGTGATTTACCTGCCTACTATAGAATACCTCTTTATCTGCCATCTGATCTTTGTCCTAGAGAAGCAAAATTTGTTTTTCAAAATAAATGATGTCTGAAGCCTTACCTAGCTATCAAATATTACTATTGACTATCTTAACAGACTGAGTAATGGTGCCGATTCTACCAGCTTCATTAACTGCTTAAATTTAGATTAAAGCTAACTCCATTCTAGTTCATAAGAGACAACGGCAAGAGTGAAATGTATGAGTAGAGTGAATTATAGAAAGGTCATTGCTGCACCCTTTCTTCTACAAACTGTCTGGTTTTATCAAATCTGTCCCTTATCTCAAGTCTGCCTTATCGCATCTGCCTAAGCAAGGTACACAAGTGAAGCTTCTCCCAAATTTAATTTCCCTTTCTCAGAAGTCCAGCCTACTATTTAAAAAAATAATAATAATCCTTTTACAATGTCCATTTCTGACAAGGAATACATGCTGACTCTCAGCAGCAATGCCCTTGAATGAAAATAATCCATCTTCAAATTGATCAGTAATCTAAAAATAGAATTTTAAGGCAATATGCCGGTACTTCATCTTTAGTTAAAGGAAGAATGTCAGTACAAATTTCCTTTCAGACTGTCTGTTGACCTTTCCTAACAGTAAACTTGCTGCAGTAATATAAATGCAGGGTTTAGTTCTTCACAGATTTCTGCCATTCAAAGATCTCCCTAGTGAAGGGGAACATACTGATAGTTATTTAGATTATTAAAAAAACAACAGTGGTTCTCTGCGCAAATTGCAATGTGACAAAAAGGTGCTATTGTACAGCTTACTTTCAAAACTGTCTTGATGCTATTCGGCTTTGTGATGAACTTACACCGCAGTTCCCAATGTTTTTAAGCTTCCTCCCTTTTGTAGAGGAGAAAAAAAACACTGAAAACTTTTGCTTCCCAACAACCTGCTCTGCTGCATCTCCCATTCTACTCATGAGTGCTTTGCACTACGGGATGGATATGTGCTTCCTATTTTGGGCTAACATACCTGCTCATAGTTACCTGAGTAACTAAAAGAAGACTCTTTATGAAGGACTCTTAGCCTTCCCGCAACACCCCTTGGAAGTTCTCCCTATTTGTCACTGCTTCCAATTTGTTCTGGCAACTATTTCTAATCTTCATAAAGCTTTTTTATTTTTCTCTAAGACATAAATGCTATTATTGTTTCTGTGTTCCTGATGCATAGAAGTTCCTCCCTTTATACTTACTGTGTAAGCACCTTCTGTAGAAGTTTTCTTTTTCTTCTCCTCCTCATGTATGTCATTGTTTTTCAACATGTTTGTTGAAAGTTTCTGAAACTTGCTTTTTTCATGTCTGAAATCTGGCTGTGCTACAAGTAACTACTGTATTTTCTGCTTATATTAAGACTCACCAGTTCCTGTGAAATTTAGCACCTGAAGGGAAAGTTTCATTGCAAGTCCTCATTCACTGTTTTGTCTTTCCGAGTGCTACTGTAATTTTCTTCTGCCTCTGGGTAGTGGGAGTGGGAAATTCATGGAAAAATTGCAGCTTTAGACTCAGAATGTGAGTTTTTAGGTAGTGACAGGCTGGCTTCATAATTGAATGTTTACGCTGGTAATGGAATTTAAAAAAAGACTACCAGGTTTGCTATGAAACCTGAGTGGTGACAGTGGGGAGGTCTTGGATTTATCAACTATGTTGCTGAAGTTTTATGTCCTGGACTGGTTTGTACCTTCAGCATTTCCAGGCAAATCTAACAGTTGATCTGAATGCTGTTATCTGTATCAGCACATCAATATTCTGTTTCTCTCTCCAGCAGAGGGGTGTGTATCCATTTATCTTTGGATTCTGGTAATCATCTTGCATGGCAATTGATCTTCCAAGCCTATGGTTTCCTTATCACTAGAAGCAAGGATTTTGAATCACGCCTCGCAGCCTTAGCTGTGGAGACCAATTCCTTGTTGTCAATATTAGTAAAAGGCTGAATTTTTTTCAGCCCCATCATGTTGTATGCGATGTGTTTGGTGTCAAAAGCCTCTCATTACCCACTCATTACACTATAATCTTAGAATGGATTTAAACTTTTTAAGATGATACCGGAGGAAAAACGGAATGTGGCATTCTTTAGTGCAGGCAAGAGATACTATAGGTGTCTCACTTTGTCTCTTCAGACAGAGTTTACTGCATGTAGGTGCACATAAGGAAAAGATGCTGCTTTTTTGGAATTTGTATGTTCTCTTCAACAAACTATTGGAAGGCATTGAAAACTAGCAGTGCTCAACTTTCCCGTTGTGCTGTAACCTGTACTTCTGTAACACTCAGATATTCTTAGTGGTGGAGCTGAGCTCCTTGGAGGTCTGCACTCTGTCCTCTACAGACAAAGGCGATCTCTGGAATCATTCCCATTGTTTTGGGTCAGGAGGAGACTGTATGTCTACAGAACAGTAAGACATTTGAGTTACACTCTACAGTTATTGAGAAAAATAAGGTCCAAGGTTTATGATGCTTCTGTTTGGGCTGTTAGGATTTGTTATGTTGCTATCTGTCATTGTAATGGATCCTACAAGTTTCTCCTATACCTCATCAGCCCTGGGCTCAGTACTCTGCAGCAATGTAACTGATACGAAAATATGCACAATATTCCCACTGCATTGGTTAAGAATGTCTTTACAAGGAGGTTCTAATGCTTCTTCCACACAACAGCCAATTCTGCTGTTGGTAGAAGCATTTTGTTTGAAAACGAAGGAGTATGTGCCTTGATAGTATATAGTCCACAGTAACAAAATAAGAAAAGGAAATTCAATAGAATGAGTTGTACGTTCACTCATGCATTGAAACAAAGAGTTCTGGCATAAAACTAAGTGCAACGCTTTCTTTTTTCACAAAGGTTCTGTGAGCTTTAACCATACAACAGCTTTAAGTATACTCTGCCTTTTTCACATCAGACTTCTTCACCTTTCTTCAAGCAGCCTGGATGTTTGTGCCAGCTCTGAAAATTGCTTACTTTTGTCCTACTGAAAACTAAGGATTCAGAAGAAAAATGTATTTTATTTTATCCCTCCCTGACAGAAAAAACTGAGCATTCAGCAATTACTGAAACTGAAAAAGATAGTCTAGACATCAATACAAATGAGAAAACTGTGGCATATATAGTGGCCTGTAAGAAACAGTCAGTGACATAAACCAATTTTTTTATGGCTATAATTTTGCTACATCTGACTTATCGAATTTTCTGTCTGAGAAAATTGTACCGTTCATTTTGAATGGCTTGATAGTTAAAACGCCAGCTAAGCCAAAGAGGAGGAATGCAGGAGTTTTGAGCAAAAGAATATTTTAAAAACTCCACCCTAGTTTATTAGTAAGCAATTCCTAGTGCTGGAATTCTCTGGAAGACCACCTCAGGCTGTAGTCTCTCATCACTGGCACCCCTACTGTTTTTTCTAGCTTCAAGAATCTTGCTTGTTTTTGCTTAACTAAATATCTACAGCATCTGGAAGAATAGACAAAAAACTGATGTAAATACAAACATACAAAAAGGATTTATTGTAAACAAAATATGTCTGTGCAAACAGTTAGGAAAATAGATTTCTGCTCTTTAGAAATGGCACGTGACTTTTTAAGATGTAAAACCCACCAAACCTACCCTGTAGGTACTTTACCCAGCAAAGTGTGCAAATTAATTGGTCCACTCAGCAACTTACATCACTGGCTTTGATTTTTCTTGCAGAATGGAGCTCAACTCTGAGGTTTAACGTTGGCACTTACGGTCTATTTCTTAATGTCTCTGAAGTAGAAATATAGATAATGACCCAACAAAATGGAACAGAGCTGTAGCATCATAAGGCCTGCCTCTGTTAGTATCTCAGGCCCTAAGTGCTTGATCCCCAGCCCAAACTTGTTGTATGAAGCTCCTCAGCATGGACCCATACTAGCCATGGGAAGTATATTCTCTTCTTTACTCGGGCCGTAACGATGACGCACGGGATGTTCCTCTAGCCTGTCAAATTCATTAAGGTGGAAGTGAGTTGCCAGTTTGTTGACCATTCTTTTCAGGGTGAGAAAGGCTGCAATAACTTGGAAGATGAGGAAGAGGGCAAAGATGATATTAACTGATCTTTCCAATGGCTGAATGTTCAGACCTTCATTAAATAGCAAGAAGAGAATTACAGGTAACTGCAGAAGGAGAGTCAGGAGCCAAAACCCAGCCAGCTCAGGGACCTGTAAGAGGGAGACATCAACATCTGAAAACCGGCAGTTAGAGATGAGGGGAAAACAAAGTGAACTAAAGTCTGTAGAGAAAACCATTTTTTAAAATAAATCTTTCAAAAGCCAGGACATAATGTGAAATGGCAAAATGAGATGGTTTAATGTTTCCATATAATGTGTTTCTAACAGAAATTGTATCTTAAAAAAAAAAAAAAACAGTTTTGAGGAGTGAAAGTGGTCATCTCTGAGGGAGAAATCCACAAAAGTTAATGGAAGCTGATGCCAGGGTAATAGAAGGTAAACAATATCACTCAGAAATAACCATCTAATCAACATAAACCTCTCAGATGAACTGGTAGACTGCTTTATTTATGCTCAATTGTAAAAAGCTCTCCTCTATAAATTAAAATGTACATATGGTAACATACCTTCTCCTGCAGGTTGCCCATGTATCCCAGGTAGAGTCGAATGACCTCTATTAGAGAAGTCAGGATCATGACTGTGACCAGGATGAATTTGTAGTAATCTGACAAGACTGGATACTAGAGGGAAGAAAAGAGTAAAAGCTTCTGCCATGCTTCTTCACAATATGCACTCTGAGGTTAAATGAACACACTGTATGCTACTGTAAGTTGACAGTGCTATATCAGCTTTCAAATATTCTTTGAGACTCCAGTTTCAAGGATTCCTCAAACAAATGTACTAAACTCTAACTCCAGTGAGCTCCATCTCTGTACTGGGGGGTTTTGATAAGAAAATTTACACTTACAAATCACTATTTTCCTTCAGGACTCACCTTCAGCTGGAGCATAACAATTGTGCTGAGCCACCAAAATGGGAAAAAGTAAACGTTGAAATAGAGGGACATCTGTAGTGGTAAACTGGAAAGTATTTCATTATCTGCAGATAAAGAGAAGTCTTTATCACTCCTAGTTCATTCCATACCTTCCTTCAGTAACTGACAGAAAGTTTGTGCTCCTTCTTAGCTTCAAGGAAGGCATTAATACTTTTCAGTCAAATTAAGTGTTAAAATTGTTATTATTTTTAATCTATTTCATTTTAGGCTATATTATTTCCTACCATCTAATACAACTTCCAGTTCACATGATACAGAATTTTTATTACGTAGTCATAAATTCAAGTTGAGTGTCTGACTGTGGAATAAGCCATAAAATACCAGATAGTCAATAACCTGACTGATAGGCTTAGCTCAAGTACTGCTGTATACTAATACTGCAGAAATAGGAAGTGCTAATTTTATTGCTGCTCTTAAGAGGATGGTCAGAGTTTAGATGAGGACATATTGGATTATCTTCATTTTGTAGATGACCTTCCTGAGCAGGGACTTACTCCTAGATTCTAGGCATATTGTGCCCATTCTTGTTTTCTGAGTCTTTAAATAAACACAGATAAAGTAACATTGCAAGAAACCTGTAATTGTTTTAGATTTGATTAAAGAATTTAAAATATGTGTCAAGCTAAAACTCGTCCTTTAAAGAATGGTAAGAATATATTGATACAATGAAGAAAACAGCAAACAGAATTTAAAGTCTGCAGAATTCAATGTGTAGAATTTAATCATAGTTTTAAAAGATCAAACTGAAAACAAGGAAAAATTTTAAGGGCATTCCAATTCAATGGTTCATTTTTAACAAACCATTTATTGCCATATAATAAGTTTATATTACAGCAAATTTACTTCAATTACCAACAGACCTACTTCTTACATTTTTCTCAACTGAAGTCTGTAGGTATATCTTCACTTGGTACCATCTAAGCATATTTAGAAAGTATTCACTGTGACCTGCTTTGTATTCAAGTCTTATTCCCCTGTCTGTCGTGATGATATTCAATAGGAACTTAGTCCAACAGCCACATGTTTTTCTTTCTAAACTCCGAACCACCCCTCTTCTGACACTGTCTTCTCTTTCTGTACTAACTATTTCCATACCTGGTTTTCTTCCATCTCAGCCTGGCATTCATTCCTGTTTCCAGTTCAGCCACATGCATCCTGGTACAATCTGTTCCAGAAGTCTTTATGCCAGATGCAGGAGCATTTATTCAGGGTAGTTACTAGACTAGATGGGATGGGAGGAGTATTTGGGAATAGAACTGGGACAGACCTTAAGGACAGGATGTGAGGGGTAGGAATTGATTAAACTGAAATAGAAAGTGCAAGAAAACCAGTATCTATTTTTAATAATCCCATTTTTAAGCATCAACACTTTACTACATCTACAAAGGAATGAAAATCTATAGGTACTTCAAAAACAATTTTACTGTGTCTAAATTTATTTCAGCTTTTCTAACAAATCAGTCTGTGGACTTGTGAGGGCACTCAGATACAATTTTAAAAGATGTTGGACTAGGCTCTGAGCAACTGATCTAGTTGTTTGTTGTAGGAGAGTTGGACTAGATGACCTTTGAACGTCCCTTCCAACTCCAAGGATGCTATGACTATTTTCATCTTTCAAAAAAACAAGACCATCCAATCACAAGTAACGCTGTTTCTTCTCCGTATGTAATATGTATTAGATGAAATTGCAATCCTTTGTAGCCATATTTAAAGAGAAGCCAAGAGTTCTAATTTAAATTGTGATGATGAAAATATTGAGGTAAAGGTTGAATTGACCCAGCATTGGCATTTTTAATTTCTGCTCAAGTTTCAGAATTGTGTTTTGAATGAATGCATAGAAATACAAGCAAATTATAATTCATCTTTTTATCCCTAAGTTGAACTTGTGCTTATTTTCTAGAATAGCAAAAATATACAGGGAAATGCCAGACTGTATTGCACTGCCAAATTTGATGCAACTCCCTAAAGTATGTGAGTGTGAACTTTAGACTTGAATGCCTGACCTCAATGAAATTCATGATACATTTGCCACTGCTTTCAATAAGCTGAGATTTCTCATAATAACTTTCACGAAAGAAGACTGAAATGACTGAAAGAGAAGCTGTTCTGGGAGCATAGAGGATGTTTCAGTGTTGTTTGATACACGAAATGAGGAACTGATATGTATGCTAGCAGTGTAGCTACGCTGGCACAACTACATAAAGTTAATGAGTGATCCTGTCTTGAAATGACTTTAATCACCTTGGAATGGATTTATCGGTTGAAATTCACGTTAACCTCCATAAACTGTCTGCATAGGCAGGCTATGTTCATTTCCATGGCTCCCGTCACTGCAAGGGAATAAAACTGTGGGCTGTTTGCAGGTTTCCCTGGCAACGGGACTAAGGGAAAACTCTCGTTTCTTATGGATATGGACTATGTCCTCAGGGATGGTCCTTTTAGACTTGGACGAGGGAGGAGAAAGCAGGTACGTTGCAGTCTGAGTTTCTGCTATTTAAGCCCAGCTTACGGGTGCACCTCTTCACGCACTGCAGTCTGTCCTCTCTGTGAGGGCTGCCGAGCTCAGAGCAGCAGCTTAGTTCTTTTATTTGCTCTTGGTGTTCTCTAAAACCACGTATGCTTTTCGTTCGGACTAACAACAACCCGTGAGGCTTAGTGCCAACGCACACGCGTTTAAACCACAGCGCGCCCCGCCCTGACGGCCGCCAGGTGACCGTTGGCGCCGCCATCTTGGTTCCTGGAAGGGCCGCTCTCCCCCGCCCCGGCTGCTCCCGCCGCCATTTTTGTTGCTGGCGGGCGGCCGCGCTTACCTGCGCGCTCGCTGGGGTGCTGCGGGCCGGCGCGGCGGCTGTCGGTGAAAACGGTGCGGCTGAACGAGCCCAGCCGGCGCCGCAGCGCCTCGGGCAGCGACATGCCGCGGGCCGCTGTCGTCCCGGCGACGGGGCGGGGGCGCGCAGGCGCGGTGGAGATGCGGGGCTCCGCCAGAGCTGCCGGGGCGAAGCGCGCTGCGCGGCTGGTTCCTCTGGGGAGAAGCGTTGCGGGCAGGAATGACGTTCCGCATCGCCGGAATGAAGGAGCGGCTCATGCCCTGCGCTACAAGGAGCGATAGCAGCAGCGGTTTCGCTGTGCTTAATGTGACGCGTCAGTTCCCAAATCCTCCCCGTTTCCTCTCTCCCAAAATCGCATTTTGCTGCTTTACCGGGTGATCGTTCTCGAGTATGAGTTTCGAGACTCAATTACCTCTGAATAATTTAAAGCCTAGTTTAAATTTAATTTCTTTCTATCCCACTGGGAAAACTGCAGAAAGAGCCGGCCGATAAAGCTCGAGTTCTGAGAAATCCATCTGGCTTACGAGCAGAGGGACGGTGTGGTATGTGACCGCAGAGTCAGAGTTCTGCAAACAAATGTGGCAGCAGGAATCGGCACCAAGCCTTCCCCCACAAACAAAAACTGAGCAACCGACCGAAAAACCAAAGCAAACCAACCTGAAGACCTTCAGAAGAGATGAGGAGGAAGTGATTTTCAAATAATGGCAACAGATTGGAAGGGAGAAGGCATTACAGATACCTCCTAATTTCAAGGGGTGCTCGGCATGTCCCATTATGGGCAGGGAAGGCAGCAAGCTTTACTGCGTGAGTGCTCTTAACGTAAATCTTAAGGTGCAGGTGAGGCTTATTCCTATTTTGCAGGTTAAGCAGGTGAGGTTTAATCTTGAGAAATGCTCTTTGAGGTTTCTGTTGCAACCCACAGAAAAGGACACATCATTCAGCGGGTGTCCTGGGCCCAAGGAGGCATGTCATTCAGTGAAAAAATATTCCTTACAAACATCAAAACAGGAAATGAAGTGCCTTTTGTTATGCAAAATTAGTCTGTGTAGCAGTGAGCACAGCTCAGCAATGCTACCAGAGCTACCTGTGAACTAGGTGGGTCGGGCAAGACAAATAATGAACAAATATGAACAAATAATTTAGTGAAAGCATCGAGTCTGAATGTATGTCCAGCTTTTTGGACCTGACTTTCTTTAATTTTGCGGCCTTTTGTTGTAGGCATAGTGATGGCAGTGCTTGCAATAGTTAGTCTGCTTTCAGGGGGAGTAAAGCAATATAAGCTGCAGTCACAGAGGTACATGTAGTTGTGTTCTAGCTGGATGTGGACCCCAGAGCTTTGAGCTGTGAGGGCACTGGAGGTATGCCACAGTTTCAATGATAAAAATCTGGATGGCTGGCTAATTAGCTGTCTACCTGATAAATTATTGAAGAGCTTAAAAATGACTTTAATGTACCAGGAAACATTATGAAAACCAACATTAATGTTAGGTAGGCTTCTGAGCATTAACTGGTGCAATCTATATTTGTTGTCTTGCCAATTTCCAGTAGGTGCTAGGAATGTACTTCCTGCCAGATTCAACAACTGTATGGGTGATTTTTGTGCTGTCTTGCAAATCTCACTATAAAGCAGTCAGCTACAGACAGTGGCGAGATGATGTATCCGTGTGATGTTTTCAGTGAGACTGCCTGAAACTTTGTTATGCTGCTGTTGCCTTTGTCCTGATCTTGTTAACTCCCTTTAAATTAAATTAGGACACTGGTCACACGCTCCCAGTTATTTGGACACAAGGAATAGGTTTATATGAATTAGAAGTGTGGCTGTGTTTTGATTAAGTGAGATCCTCAAGGAAGTCTCAGGGTTTTTTTGTTGTGTAAGCTGATGCCCCATTAAGGTTCAATCTTTAAGGATTTTCCTTTTGATTACTTTTTCAAAAATCAAGGGAAGAATTTTTCTAGAACTGCACAACACTATTCCTTTCTAGTTGCCAGTGGCTTTGAGCAGGGGCCGTGAACATGCACTCTGATGTTCTTACATTCCCCAATTCTAAAATTATGTCTAGCATGCACCCTGCTAGCAGCACTAGAGTAGTCAGTCAGACTTTGCAAGATTGGGTTCTGCTCATTCAAAAACTGTGAAGCAATCCAGCTTAAAAGTCACTGGAGTGTAAAACTAAGTAGTCGGTCAAGGAAAGGCTGGTGGAATGCAGGCACCACAAGAGATGCATGAATTTGCCATGTGAACTCAATTTCCAGACTCAAGGTGTGAATCTGTGATATTTGGCAGCCTTACATTTTCAGCAGATGGCCAAGCATCCAACGCATCCCTGTGAAATAAAATTGTGTGCATTTCCATTTAATATTTTTGTCTGTGCAGATGGAATATTCTGTGAAGATGGAATATACTCTTTGTTTTTACTAACTCTGTTGTTGTTTTGTTTTGTTTTTTTTACAATAAGGCACGTGTTTTTTTGCCCATTTTATGAATGGACTTCCGATTTTCTATAGGACAGGTTGGAGAGCACCTACTCAAGTTTCAAGCAAGAGAACATTAAAACTTCATGTATTAGAACACCCGGACAGGTCAGAGTTTCCTTGTAACATTAGGATATCAATGTGGGCCATAAGGAGTGGAAGGAGGAAAGAGGTTTAACTGTTAAGTGTAACAGTTACGATGACCATCTGTATGAATACATAAGTGACTAGTGTTTGTGATGAGACTGTTCTTGGCTTTTTCTTTCTTTGTGTCTATCCCTGTCTTAATGTTTAAGGTAGAAATAACCGGATTTCCAGCTCTGCGCTTTGAAATGAGACCATAATTGCACAGCATATTACATGACCATTTTATTTCTCTCCACACATGCTAGCTATAAATAAAACAGAAATCTCTGAAAATCTACCTGAAAGCTTTAAATCAGAGGAATATTGGATCTTTGTGTATCCACAGTAGTCCAACTAAGTTGGTAGACACTGGCTTGGCTCCCAGACCGAAGCTCCTGGGGCTCTCTGGCAACAGCTCTAAGCCATAAACACCAGATGCAGTATATCTAATGAAATTAAATATCAGCAGTTTTTACAGTTGGCATTTCAGAAACACAGAGTTCATTTAAATGGTGCCAGTGGTTTATCTGTGTACCTGAATTGTAATCGCTGTATTTCTGAATTTGCTGATGTGGAATCTCAGAAATGCTGTTTTCCCTGGGATGCCTGCACGTCTGCCCTTCATGTAGTTGTGAGTGTGCAAGCAACAGAAATAACACGCTTCTTTGCCTGATCCTTAATACCTGCACAGTGTTTTTGTAGAAATGCTGTAAAATGTAAAAAGTGCTGGTGGGTTAAGATATGAGCAAGCAAACAGAACACAGGCTTGCTTTCTCCTCCTGTTCTCAGAGTGAAGTGACAGATTGTGAGTTTGAACAAATTACAACTGCCACGAAAGCATGTGTTTGAAAGGATCATGTTATGAGCTGTGACAGTGCCTGTCAGAGAAATTCCACAGCTGTGCTCCTGGTGTGCAGTACCTCGAGACAGTCTTTTCTCTGTGTCACTTGTATGTTAGTCCCTGGTATTTGTTTAACACCTACAGGGTATTTGTGTCTGATAAACAAGTATTGTTTCTGATGAGACCGGTCTGATGCTCCTGTTTGAAACATTACATATTGCTGCTCTTGTTCTGTGCATTAACTGTATCTCAGTTATTTCAGTCCTAAGCATAAAGACATTAAAGACATCAAAAACAACAACAAAAAGGCTATCACTTGCACCCATGGATTGATATCCTTCTTATATTTAGATGGAACAGCTCCCCCGCTTGTTTTATTTTGTTGATTTGTAGTTTTGCCAAGTGCATTGGGAAAGTTTCAAGGCTAGAACTGCTATTAAACAAGTTTTACCATTTGTGTTGCAAAAATACTTGAGATTTGTATGATACATGAGGAGACTACAGCAGGTGTATGCATTTTGAGTTAGGTTCTCACGTCCGCAAAGATTCTTGATGAACACCTCCTTGTGAAGACAGGCTGAGAGAGCTGGGGCTGTTCAGCCTGGAGAAAGGAAAGCTCTGGGGAGACCTGTTAGTGGCCTTTCAGTATCTAAAGGGGGGCTGTAAGAAAGAAGGGGACAAACTTTAGCACGGTCTGTGGTGATAGGAGAAGGGGAAACTATTTCAAACTAAAAAAGGGGAGACTTAGATTGGTTATAAAGAAGATTTTTACACTAAGAATGGTGAAGAACTGGCACAGGTTGCCCAGAGAGGTGATGGATGCCCCATCCTTGGAGACATTCAAGGTCAGGCTGGATGGATCTCTGAGCTACCTGATCTAACTGTAGGTCTCCCTGTTCACTGCAGGGCAGTTGGACTAGATGGCCTTTACAGGTCCTTTTCAACACAAAAGATTCTATGATTCCATGAGTCTCTGCATGACCTGACCAATGCAGATGAGTCCATTCTTTTCTAGAAGTGGCTGAGGAATAGCCAAAGAACCGCATGTTATAGCACTGCAAACAGGCTTCAAGTTTTGTTTTTCTCATCATAAGCTGGTGATCATTCTGTGCTTCCATCCTCTGCTTGAGGGATACATTTTGCTTCAGTTAGACCCGTGCACCTTAGCAGGACTCAAGATAATCATACTTGAAACTTGTTCTTTGAGGTTATACATGGGAACTTGGTAAGGGCTCTCAGTTATTCTCAGCAAAGCATGTTTTGTCTGCTCTGCAGTTAGAATAGCTAGACTGTTCTCTTTGTGCAGAAATGCACACTGAAAATCCTACCTCAGATCTAGAGTCACTCTGCACACCGTGGCAGCTTACAGTGAATTATGTGTTAGAAGGTCTGATGGCTTCAGCCTCGGCCTCTTCTTTGCGTGCACGGGGAGGTGAGGTCAGCTTTCATGTGGTAGTTTTAGCTATCCTAAATATTATGTGTACAATCCAAAGCCTTCACCTCTCTGATGGGTTTCCCCAGAAAGCTGATCTTGGGAAGGAGTGGTGCATTTGCTGCTTATGTTTGTTCTGTCCTTGTTATGTTTGTGCTGTAGCAGTGCCCTAAAAATTAGGCTGGTTATTTGGATATTCAGATATGCATTTGTATTTCCAAACAAGAGCAAACTCTCCCTCTTCTTTGAAGCTTTGTTGAATATAAAGGTACCTGTTGTGTTGTCAGGTCAGCATCAGTGCGTTTCCATTGTCCATACTTCATGTCCAGACTGATGATTCTGAGGATGACTAGAAATACCATAGAGGCAGAGTTCTGGTTCAGCACCTTTAGTTCAAGCATCATGAGTTATGCTTTTGGGGATGCTAGTGCAACACTGCTGCAATCTCTGGTATATCTTTGTTAGAACATGAATTTGGCTGTGTATTTTTGAGCCATAGTCTGTTAGGTTTAGGCTCCTGACTGTGTTTCCAGACAAAACAAAAATGCCTCAAGTTCTCATCAAGGAGTACAGGAGAAAGAGTACAGTGATTTTCTGAAGTTCTGAAGAGCACTTAATTCTGTCTTTATTGCATTTTCGATTATTTAAGGCAGAGGCTTCTTATTTGTGTGTGTATGTTGGCTATATGCACCATTGTATCTCAGACTCAGCTGTGGTACCAGTTGCTTTTGTAGCATGAATAATCATTCTGAACTCTTTAACAAGCTATCTCTGAAGTATTAAATTTCTGTTGTCATTTGAAGATGAAGTTTCTCATGTAACCAGAATCTGTGAAGTGGTGTTTAAGACTGGAGAAAGTGTGGAAAGATTTTTGCTCTTAATATGGTGCTTAAAATCAATGATTTCCTTTCCTGCATGCTGAGTTATTAACATTTGCAGTGGAGGAGGCAGGGTTGAAGGATCTAGTCTAGCTTGCTTTCTTGACCTCTCTGTCCCTGAAATTCTTTATTACAGGACTCAGTTGAAAGCTTTCTTTTTTTTTTTCTTCCCCTCAGACTTTGTCTACAAGATCTTGCCTGCCTACATTAAATACTGGGTTTGTAACTGCAGCATTTATTACAACAGTATCTTAAAACATCAGATGCTGGTGCAAAAGCTCTAATTAGAAATGCACCAAGTGCTAAGAGATGGCTTGTGTTGTTCTTCAACTGCAGCATCCACAGTGAGAGTCACATTTAGCCTGAGTTTATGTATGTCTAAATGACTAGAGGTATCAGTGAGAAAAGCTGTGAAGTGCCATAATGCTGTGATTTATTTCTTCTTTCTGCTTTCTGCTGGGAATTTCTGCTTTCTTTCACTAAATTACAGTAGTTTAGCTAAGAAAGAAGACCTGTGCTAGGGTACTGTATACACCATTATTATGGTGTGACATCATGCATTTTGCCAAAACGGTCAGTCAGAAGTAATTAAAACAGAAGGTAGACGCCAACAAAGTCAGTTTCTACATGGAGGCACTAAACTAGTTTCTCTTGCCTTTAAAAAATTTATGAATGTCCACCAGGTCTTGCCTCTTGCAACTTGGCGTATCTGTGACGTCTCTAAAATCCTCTTTGTAAATTGGCAAGCCTCAGAGAGGCAATTTCATTCTAAGCCAGGCCAATCCTGTCCAAACCATGCCTTTCCAATGACAGTGACTACTCAAGCTGCCTGGACGCATCTATTTTGGTGCTCAACTATCCATGTAATTACAAAATGAAGCACTAGTATCTAACTTAAGCCACACTTTCCTCAATTTCTACTTCTCATCCTACCAAGTATAGACATGCCACTAATTCTTTCTCCAGCTACCTTTTGATTTCTGTATCATGTACTCCCCCAGTTGCTCTTCTATAGATAAAACAAGTCTAGCTGAATGGATCTATGCTCCGTTATGCCAGATGTTTGTCGCAGTAGGTCTGCCCTGATGTCACTGAGAGGAAATCAAATGGGCAGAAAGGGCAAAAAATGTGGGCGATGAACATACTAGAAGTGTTTCAGTGCACACTGCAAACTGCCTGCTGCAGTACCAGAAAGCCCTCATTGATCACAACTAAAGGACGTGTTCTTTCCTTGAACATTAAGTGTGGCAACCCACTCTACTAGGACTTGGAACTGATATTTCTGTCCTGCCCAGATTAACAGATGCATCGAGAGGCATATGATTAACTTCATAAATACATATCATAAAATCATGGGCAGTGTTCTCACTGTAATGTATTTTCCCTGAAGGAAAATATGTTTGAGTACAGAAATCAGCAAGAACTTGATGCCAAATGTGGAATGGAAAGGAATTCCTAAGGCTGGAGTCTGTCAGCAGTTTTTGTGCATGGTCTTCTACTTTGAAGAATTAGTTGTGGAGTTATCTTTTTTCTTATCCTCTGATTTCTGAACTCTGTATCAGTTTCCTGAAACACAACAGCATGTGTCATGTACACACATAACATTTCCTTGGAGATTTTTTGCTGGTCACTGTGGGTGAATTTGTTTAAAAAAAAGCAAGCAGAAGGAATGTAAGACAGTGGTTGCTCCTGTGCTAAAAGTGGTATTTTCAGAGTGTAATACTGTAAAAGAGATTATTTTCCTACAATCTGTGAGATTGGAGAACCCTGAAGGTGAATTTTTGCAGTCCTCATGAAGATTGTTTATTGTAAAAGTCTCAGTTATCAGATGAGGAGGGCCTTAAAAAATCAGATCTGAGTTAGCTGCTTGGATTTACAAATCAATCTTAAAGCTGTTGGCACTGCCAACTTGACATTCAGCCTTGCCTCAAGGAGTCTTAGTTTAAGAGCATCTCAGAAAAATTGCTAGGCAGTCCCTCTGTGAAAGTCAGCACTGACATAAGGTGCCGTGATGAGAGGCTGTTCCTGAATCCCACTGACCCTCACTTGTGGGAACGTCTGCAGGCAGCAGACATGGCACAGAAAAGTTTACAGATTGCCTCAGCTTGCACAGGTGACTGAAGAGCCGCTGGTTAGAGGTGCACAAAGCTGCTTCGTGCCAAGGATG